AAAACTTCGTAGGTAGTCCTAATGTCAAACAATGAAACTGTCACTGGCAAAATGTTATACCAAATCAACAATTTTTTAATTATAATTGAATAGCTATCGAACCCCAAAAACTATAGATCTTGTATACGAAACGCTAAGCCGGACTGCAGTCATCGACATTTGCAATTTATAACGCCCGCCCCGCACTACAATTACGCCTGTCCCTCTACATAAATTTCCTACCCGCACTCGACTCTACGACCGCCTTTCTCGTATTTATCGGCTCGACGGTTCACTTTTTATTATTTTTAGTGGTGCTCTGAGGAAAGCGGAACTATACAGCTCCCTCTACATATTCACTTAATTTATTTGTCACCAGATTTGTACAGTTTCCGTAGATGCTTTCTTACATAAATTATATTTTATATCCATACTAACTGTCGCCTACAACTCCGTCCGCGCGGAATTAAAAGAAAACTATGTTTTCTTCCAGACTATGTTCTACAACTATGCCAAATTTCATAGAGATCCGTTGTGCCGTTCTGCAGATACCTTCTAACAAACAACTAAATTTTCGCATTTTAACATTAGTACATAAGACTTGTGTTTTCTACTTTCTATTAATAATTAGATCAGTTAAAAAATCACATATTATATTCCTTGATAATCAATTGAATATTTAATTATATTGTTTAATATTCAACAGCCACTTTGCAGTTCAAAACTTTTCCAAATCTATGATGTAACCTTCGCAATAAACCAATCTCGAAGTACCGCATTACGGTAGACACAACTAGCACGACTTCAACATTCATCTACACGGATTTTGGTAAAGCTCGGACATTAAATATTACTCATATCGTTCAACTGATTCTAGACACTTGATGTTTCTAATACATTTTTCTTAAAATCATAAACATTTTTTTAATGGTTCGTTTTTAACGTAAATTCATTTTTTATATGGCTCAGGAAAGTATACCGGAATAGAAGAGACGCATTACGCAATTGGTAAGTAAACAAAATAATTAACAGATGGATCGACGGACAAGTAATTCTATAAGTGTTCCGTTTCCTTTCGAAGTACGGAACCATAAAAATACGAAACTTATCTTTATAAATATTTGACACTCTGATCCTTGAATTTTAATTCAAAATTAAAGAGTCATATAATCAAAAAATAACCAAACTGTAATCATTTAAAAATTGAAACACTAACAAGAAAAAATAACTCGATAAACCATTTCAAAGCTGTTATCAAAATCTTCGACGATAATCCTGTTATATATCCAAAGCCAATCAGCTAATGGACATTGCTTTACCTTCTCGTTCCGTGAAATAAAAAAAACGGTGTAGTTTAAAAAAAATAAACAGTAAACACATTTACGTGCAATACATTCTTGCTTTGGGGGCAGTGCATTCAGGATTCATGCACATATACCAAAATAAATATTAGAAAATACCATAACCAGATACGAATGCATTTTATTCAAAATTCCATTACATTAAAACCTTTTTGGTCGCACAAAAATGAATACAACTAATGCTTTCGTAGTACTGGCCGGTCAACATTTAGAATTTAAAAATAAATACAATAAGGTATAGCATTACGTGAAACATAATGTAAATTGGCTCTGTATTAAAAATTGACTTTAATTTATTTTTTATATTTTTTTATGTGTTGCCTTGACTTTATATTCCACGTAATAAAACAACAATAATACTAATTTACATTTAGATACAAGGTTATAAACATTAACAGTTAGTGAAAAAACATCCAAACACCGAAAGTGGCAAGAAAAAGGAGTGAAGGTAGAAAGATAAAAAAAAAAAGAACACGAGGGGACAGAAAACATCGAATAGGTATATTTTTTAGAACATCGATGCGGTCGTCCGCGCTCACCGCCCTGGTATTTTGGGAACCTTTCGAATGGTACTTTTCTTTTTCAATTTCAGTGAAATGCAATTCTTAGCTTAATAATTTTAATTTAATAATCACATTTTTTAACGGTTTTCATTTTGCGTAATACGATATTTCTCATTTATAAAGTTTGATATTAAAATTGTTTTTTTAGTTTCATTTAAAGGTTACATAATTATTAGGATTTTACTTCTTTATTAGTGTGAAGTGTTTCTATTTTTTTTTCTTTAAAAGAATTAAACTAATAAGTTTTTAGTTCATTTTAACATTTCTCTATTTTTATGGCTTAACGTAATCTATATGGCCAGTTTTTTTTTATAATAATATAAGTTGTTCCAAATTTAAAAACTTCTAAATTCAAAATTAGTATCAATTTGAAGGCATATGTTGACTGAAGTGCTGAATAGCTTGAAACATGGAGGTTCAGCGGAACGGAAATGCTTCAAGCCTGTTCCGGCCAGTACGTATTCAATTAGGTTTGTTCTTCAGATGTGCTTTCGTTGCGTTACGATACAACACGACTTAATTTCACTCGATCGACTCGATCAGACTTGGCAAGAGATAGAGCTGATGTCGATTGAATCTGTTTCTTCTAGTATAGTACAAATGCATACACGTTCCTTTTATTTTAAAAGCGTTCGGTAGTTTTTTTTTTTTTAACAGCATGCGACTTTGACATTTTATTCGATATTTGAAATGTTTTTTTTTCTTTAATTTAAGTCTGAAGTTGTTTATATCTTTCAGTTTGGTTATAATTAAATGCATTTTATTTATATTAATCGTAACAATTTATTGGATTTTTTTCTGAATACTATGATCTCGTCAAAGCAAGCTTTCAGGACATATTTAATTTAAAATTTAAAAACAAAATTCTTAAAGTTTTTGTGATAAAGGGTCTTGACAGTCAGACGGACGGACAACAAAGTGATATAAGGGTTCCGTTTTTTTCCTATGAGGTACGAAACCCTAAAAACATTTTTAAATCGTCGCATAAATCTTTTCGACATTATTTTCACAAATGACATAAAACAGATACATTAAAAACTAACTGCTAAAGCCGTAAAAGTCGTAACTAAATTAGTTTTCTAGACGTAATGACTGGACCTAACTGGATGAGAGCAAAAATTATAACAATAAATCCAATGATATTGTACATTTTGTGACACTTTCCAAAGACAAATGAAGGGAGCACAAAACAAATGGAAGACGTGACCTTTATTATTTATCTGTATCTTTAAAAGAATGAAATTAAGTAATTTTATGTAACATAATAAAACTGAGATATACCCTTGATAGCGTAGTCTTTAATACTACGATATTTACAACATAAATACGAATTATTTCAAGCTTTTAAGCTTAGTATAAACCTGACACGACATTTTTTTTTATAAATCATTGCCTAGTTCATGCCTTATAGTAATACTAGATATTGCAGTTATTCCCACTATTTCAATATTCCTGAACGGAATTAATGACTTTTGCAAATTCTTTACGGAATTCGTCGTTTCGCAGTCCGGGATTCGATGCGCCATTTCTAGATTTCAAAATTGATAGAAGCTATACTCTGCACTATCGTTTGATATCAGGAAATAAATGGAAACTGATTTAGCAAATTTTAAAAACGATTACATCTATGAAATTAGGTTAACAGCTTTTTAAATATAATATATAGCAAAAAAAAAACAATACAACGATCTCAATTTCTTTCAAAGAAATTAATTAATTCTTACCAATTTACTTAAAATAATAGACGGAATATTATCTAAAAGTGACATACAAAAAGTTACAAAATAAAAAATTTAAGCTTCTTTAGTTGTTATATAAAAATAGCTATAAAATATAATAAAATATACAAAAGTTTTGAACCGTATAATAGTTTAACTGGCGTAATGCAATAACTCATTAAACAGAAGTGGGGTTTATCGTCTAGAAAGGCATAAAAAGGCACCTAATGTCTCTATTCAACTGCAGATAGTCGGAATGGGCGGCGTTACCCTATGCCGTATTTCGCCTGCACTACTCTTCGCATCTTCGCTTCCCAAACCATATCGATTTACTATCTACTACTTATTCCGTTTCGTTGCTTCTTTTTTAATCTTTGATTTCAATTACACGTTTTATTTCGAACATAGATTATAGATTTTCATAGATTATAAATTGTAATTAATTTATCATAGAGTATATGATATACGTAATTTAAATTATAATAAATAGCGATACAGTTTAATTATTTTTATTAATTCTTATTTCAATATTGTGTTAATATTATGAAGCTTCAAAACTTTCTACATATTTGTTAATGGTTGAATTTCGATGTTATATAATTTGATAAAAACATGAAATAAATTACGTCATTAATTACACCGTTTATTGTAAAGATATTGTTAAAAAAAATAAATGACATCTTTGTCTCTCTATTAAATTTCGAATAAAAAAAAAAGAATATTGAATCTGAAAATCTTAAATGACATTTTAAAATTCAAATTTAGAACACGTTATAAGAAAAATAAACAGCTACGAGAGATGCAATTTTAGATCACTTTTGGTCTCAAAGGTCAATTGGTCATTTTATTTTGTCTTTTATTTTAGTGAAAGCAATATCATTGAGTGAGTAATGAAATTGCCTGTATTTTAAGCTTGACTTTGACAAGATCAATTCAGTTTATACAATCTGTGCCGCAGCCGTCACCGAGCTGAGCTCGCGAACTTCTCAAACTTTATCGATCTGTTTACAAACTTTTGCACCGAACAACATTTACCATTTCCACTGATTAAATACGTTACATTTTCAATCTTCATTGTTATTCAAACCTTATTGCTATTTCACATCGCATTTTATACTGGCATGTACAGCCACGTGCTTCTTTTTAAAGAAAATTTGTTTTTTTTTGGTTACAGTACCTTTGGACCGCGACAAAGCTCCCGACCAGCCTACCACATCAGACATCACGTGCGATCCACATCGATCGTACGGCAAAATCGGTACGTCCCGAAAATACCCGGGCGGCGGACGCGGCGTAGGCAAGCGACATTAGCCCACAACATCTGTTAATATCATCATTGTTAATTACATATGGGTTTGTTGTTAATATATTGTAGCCACCTGTCCCGAGGAGGGCGCTTGCAGGTACGTCGCTACGTCGTCCACCATGCAGGCTCGCGGGAGTTCGGGGAGGAACATAATACGCTAGAGGGCGCGCATATCGCGTGCGGGCTGCGCGGCGCCCCGCGTCCGACTGTCGCGAGCTCGGCGCCTTCGCCCCGCGCGCCCCCGCCGCGCCGCGTTGCGCTCTTCACCCCGCGCGCCCCTCGCGCCACTCCACACGCGCAGGGCTGTGCTAAGCGAGCTTTCCCGACTTTTTCATGTTTCGCATTTTGAATGATGACGTAAAGTTAGGATGCGTACACACTGCGCTAACTGATAACGTAATCATAAATTTGTTGGTAACTAAGCAGCAAACGCTTGAACCGTGTAACATAACTTCAGAATGGCATGTAAAATATCTTATTATATATATATATATTTTTTTTAAGTTTGACAAATTTGTTTTCTTTTTCGTTAATATTTTATTATTATACGTAAAACGTTAAATATGTCGCAATTTAAATTATTCTAAAATAAAAATAAAAACAATAATTAAAAACCATAATTTTAAATTCAACCAGTAAGCTTAATATCAATATCGTCAATGTCAATAACTATTATAAATAATTATTTAACTCTAAAATCTTAGTCAATATATTAAATTAAATTTAATGCATGTGTCGTATCAGAAACGTGCAATACACGTCGCAAGTTTTCCGCGTCGCCAGCCCTCAGCGCGTCCGTCGTAATGCATTCGCTCGCAGCGTCTCGGCGCCGCTCGGACCCGATCGGTACGCGCTCGGCCCGCCTCGGGAAGCTCTTTCAAATTCAGAACACAGACATGACAACTGCAAATACATTCCAACTTCAACCAAAAAATTTGAGCTTTAAGATTGAAATTAGCTTATCAAGCAAAAGTCACATTTTGAAAGTTGAAACGTAATTGAATTTCGACTTTATTCCATAAGAATTAAAGAGAAAATTGAATTGGTTGAAAAAAATTTGAGTGTCGTATTCGAATTTTGAAATATCCTAATTTATCTAGAGTCATAGCAAGCCAATGTGAACTTTAACGCTATTAGTTAATGCTTAATATCGTTTGAACTTGTTTTTCAGCTGACGCGTACGTAAATGTCACGGAAGTTTGCTTATGTGGACGCGTTGTGCGTGTGTGTGTTAAAAACACATCTTGGGCGGACCGTAGCGTAGCTTAGGCGGATTTTTTTTTCTAGTTCGATATTTTTTCCTTCTGACCTATCTTTTTAGGGTTCAACTAGAAGCGTGCATTTTTTTAGTATACAGAGTGTTAGCATTGACGAAAAGTTAAACGCTTAATTTTAATTCGATTACTTGTCGAGGTTAGTTTTTAGTGCTTTATACAGGGTGCATATTAAGCACATTTTCAGTACTATAATAATTAATTCTACAATGATTATAATATTAGGCATATACAGGATGTTTAAAATTCTGTTTTTAAGGGGTGTCTAATTACCAGTGTTAGTGACGTCACTAACTTCAACAAACTCTGAAGGATTAAGCATGTGGTACGAGTCGCGGGTCGCGGGTGGCAATACGGCGCGCCTGATAATTTATTAGCGAGTGATTACTGCTGGGGAGGCTGTGCCGCGACTCTTATACTATGCACAGAGTATGCGATATCCAGAGATTGCGTTATTTTTTTGGTTTTCTATAAAAACTTTTTTATGTTAACCTTATAATACTATATCTAGTTAATGAGTATTCATGTTACAAATTCAGATAAAGTTATGTTTTTCGTATTAAAATACGCATTTAAAAATCTATGTCAAATTAAGTACAACCTCCAATCGCGTGATGGCTTCACTCTACCGTATTTACATTTCAATATATAAAAACCTCATTGTTTAACATATGTAGGATGTCTATATACTACAGTTGCATATTACTTTCTTCTAACATAACACAAAATTATTCATATAACGATAATGGTATTTAAAAATATATTGAAATGTCTATAAGTTGAGTGGTCTGTACACAATCAGAGAGTAGTAAATCTAATATAGCACAAACTGGGAGTCTCAGAATCCAGTCGTATATTATATTAGGCTACGACCAGAGCTTAAATAATTCACGTTGTTCTGTGCACTCAACTTAACTGCACATTTGATTTGAACTTACTATACACTAAGTTACAATTGTTCACTTTGAAGTTTACAGTCGAATAGAAATTACAAATTATAATAAAATTATCTAAATAAATTTATCTTTATAAGGATATAATCACGGAATTATCTTACTGATTGTTGCCGACAGATACGGAACTGTTCAAGGAGTTTTTACACTTTAGCAGCCATTAAATCTAAGAAAAAAGAAGAAATGAAACATTTGAATTTAGTAATGTCAAATCAGTTTTTTCTATGTCTTTTCTGTTATTCATGTTCTACAATATTAACACATTTTTCTGCAAACAAGGGTTTTTTATTTAAAGCCCTGTACATTTTGGTCCTTCGAGCCGGACCTTCCTTTTTACACGTTTTTATTCATAATTTTTATATTTTTGTATTTAGAACTTTATATGTTTTTTCTTCCTTTTTCTCTATATTTAAAAGTATCAGTTGTAAATATATTCTGTAACAGTGCGTGCTTTTCTCTTTATTTCTAATAATTCTATTTTATTCTTCCATTATATATTTTTATTATATAACATAATATTCCAAAATTCATTCTAATCCAAACGCTCTTTCCATTCTTACATTTTCCGTCGTCTTTACTGATATTATAAATGCGAATGTTTAAAGGTATCTTCAGAACGGCTGCATTTATCTCGCTAGAATTTGGTTGGTAGAACATAGTCTTGAAGAAAATATAGGCTACTAATAAAGTTTTTTATAATTCCTCGCGGACGGAGTCGCATACGACAACTAGTTAAAATAGACATGTCCGTATCAATTAAAACATTGAAACTTAACAAAATAAAATGACATTGTCAGCTAATGAAATGTGTAAATATAAGATTCTTGGCCAGCGTGATTGACTATGGCCTAATCACTCTTAACTTAGGATAGGCTTCGAGCCCCTCGGTGGGGACGTATAGTGAACTGATGATGATGATGATGATAAGATTCTCATATCAATTCTATTTGAAGATACTTGATTGTGTGTTCAATTATTATTTTTTTATTTTAGTTAAAACACAAAAAAATTACCTAAGTATTATTTATTATGGATTTACATAGTTTGTAGATACTTGAAAATTATAGACAACAGTTCCAACCGAGTTTTTTTATGCTATGGTTCATTACTGACTCAAAAGCTGAATATGTTTATGAATAAACTGCAGAAACATGTTGTCATACTAATGAAAACACACTGTAACATCAACATTAAACGTCCTAACAATATTGAACACAAAAATCCAACAAATATCACCAACAAGACAACAAAAGTACACTCTCCCCTTCACAACCGAACCCCGCAAAACCCCCGCACCCTGCGGCGCCGATACAGCCCGTTAGTCTTTTTAATTTCGCCCCTCGGCCTTTATGTGCGATACCCCGCCTTATCTGTCCACCGAACATCGTTTGCTATTACAAAATACTCTCATAAATTGAGACCAAAGTTTTTTCTATTTGACATTCGTGAAATTACGAATGTGTTTAATTTTTTTTTATACCATAAGGTGGCAAACGAGCGAGCGGCCACCTGAAATCGCTGAAATAGCGAAGTGACCGTTGCCCATAGACATACACAATTGCACATGCGTTGCCTACCTTTAATCGACGGAGGAGAGGATGCACATAAAGAAAATATTTTCCCTTCCCATGCATCCTCTCATCCGTAAAGTTCACTTCCATTTCCCATCCTTTCCTTATAATAAAAAGGGTGAGCAAGGAAAGAGGACTAAATTAGGCCTCCGGGACGCACACTCATCAGACGAAATGCGGTATCGCTTCCACTTAACGCCTGTCTTCTGTGTGGTCGTGGTATTTCACCGGGCGAGCCAGGCCAATACGTGCGAAGATGTTAAAGCGGGCTCTACCATTGTTTGAAGAAATTAATTTAAGTAAGAGCCAACCCCACCTTGTTGGATATGAATTAGACAGAGACAGAGGGAGAGAGAGAGTGTAGTAAGAGTTACGCTGTAGCAATTAGGCAAATACTAATAAACAAAGGCAAATATAATTGTTCCTTTAGATAAACCAAAAGGTTATTATAATTGAACGGTATAGGATGAGTTAATTGATTTTTAACTACTATTTTTGTAAAGGTATCTTAAATAAATGTCAATTTCTTGTTATAATTTAATATATGAAAGCTTTCTACAATTTTGTATATTGTTCTAAAAAAAGACATAAACGATTAAGCTTTAAGCTTCGAGATATCTTTGATATATTACAGAAAAGTAAGTGTGGATTTTAGAATTTTTATAAATAAATTTAGTAACATTTTTAAAGCGATTTATCGTAGTTATGTGCAAACATAGCACTTTTAAAAGGTTATATACCTTAAACCTAAAAACTGCGATGTTCGCACTGCGCGGCTACATCAAAAGATAATCGGAAGGAGACCATAGACTTATGACACTTTAGACATGACATAGCATAATTTTAACAATTAGTACTACACTATTAGTATTTTTTTATTTCTTTAGCCACTTATAATTAGCAGAACTGGCCTCTTAGTAACCACTTCACTAATCGGCAATTAATTATTTATTAGATATTAGCCATTTAGCAAAGCCATCCTTAAAAACGCACCACCATTTGTATTCCAAGCTTTAACTATTTTTTCTAGAAACTCTCCTATTCCTGGCAACTTTTTCTTTTTAGGAAGCTAAACAAAAGAAGTTTAGTAATTATTTTCTTGCTACGTGTCTTTAACTTGACAGTGTTAGTGTCGTATCTGTAACTTTTTTAACTCTTACCCCAATGGCCTATCCGCGAGGTTACACGTAATATAAATTCCTATCCAATATTCACAAATTCCAGCGGCGCATTTTAATGCTCGTGGGGGCAAATTGCAATTTTCTTACGCTCACCATGTCGCCTTCGCGTTGCCGTAGCGCCACTAAATATGAACGTCATGAATTTATTTTGAACGTCCTATATCATTGAGAATGGTGTGAAAATTTTAAAAAAGAAATTCTATTGAACGCGATAAT